TGTGTGTGTGTGTGTGTGTGTATATATATATATATGTGTGTGTGTGTGTGTAAAATTTATTAAAAAGACTTGTTATACATCAACTCCTCAAAACTATTCTTTATTTATTATCCTTTTACAGTCATTCTTGAGAAGTGGGACAAAACAGGGTGCAAAATTGAAAAAATAAATGTACTCAGAAGAAAATTAAATTGAAGGTGATAATTGTGTTAAACACATTCTATTATTAATCCCTCATGACATTTAAAATTGAAAATATTTTTATTTTTTAAAGCTAATAGCAGCTACCCTTGCTGGACCTGTTTTGTCCCACGTCTCAAGAATGACTGAGTAGCCTAAGTAGGCTAGTTCTTCAATATTCAGCTCTATAACCTTGCTTTTAGACGGCAGATTATAGAAATCTGGATATCTGTCGAATCATCAGCTTTATCTTTTTAATAAACATGACCTCATGCACTAGTAGGCATAGTAAAAGGCATAGCTAAATCCAAACATCTAATTTATTTTATTTTAAGATCTAATTTATTACAGTAATTTATAACATTTACAGACATGTTTTGTGTCATTGAACATTTAAATATTAATATAATTGACTTTACTACTTAATATAGAAATAAAAACGTGAATGGGAAAAAATTCTTGGGGAGGTGTATTGTCTTGATTCATCGTCTCCAGCACGTATTCGGTGCTTTGGTTCCAGCCTTTGCAGAGATCCAGCACTAGCGAGCGACGCGACGCGACGCGACGCGACAGGCGCAGGAATCATGGACGCTCCGCAGCGCGCCGCCCCTCTCTGAGCTCTTCTCTGTCCTCACGCCCGCTGTGCTGAAATCAGCCTCGAACCGACAGCAATGTAACGGCAATGAGACAAAGACACCGGCAGCCCGACGAACACACCGATAATGGACGATGATTTGTTTCAGTTAAGACAGCTCCCGTGAGTCTGCTTTTCATGCCGTTTCTTTCATCCGACCTGAGCCGTCATGCAAACACTATTCCGTTCATTTCAGCCCGTTTAGCGACCTGCAGCTGCTAGAATGTGACATTGATTTTCATGCAACTTATTTGAAAAAATCACTGCTTACATAATGGCTGCTGTAGATGTAGGCTGATGTAGAATAAGGATATTTGGGCAGTATGGATTGCCAAAGGTGTATGTTTGGTAAACAGATCAAGTAGATTCAACTGTTTAGGCTATGTATTTTAAAGCAGTAACGTTGTGTTGCATTTAATATTTCCTCGTCCATTGATTCATTTGCATTGTACATGACGATTCCATTGAATAATGCAATGGTTATTTGTGCCTGAGTGGGGTTTTAATGTGGAATAGACACTCATTCTGCTCACAGATCACTTTGAATGGTGTTCAAATAGTTTTACGCAATAACACGTAGCCAATTTGATTGGCCTTATAGAAAATGTTCAACGCTGTGATTTTTAGATTCACTTTTTATAGATCTTTTTGTTCACATTTTAAATTATTTTTAATGATTTCTGTGGCAGGGCTTCTTAACCTAGGGTTAAATACAGCACTAAGCACTTTTCAAAATTATAAACTGAAATGTCGCTTAACCCAGGGTTTAAAAAAATATGTTAACCCAAGGTTAAATTAAAACCCTCTTCATTTTACAATTAAAAAAGGGAAGAAGCAGGTTTCCAGAAATTCACTTTAAAAAGTTATTATCAAAGATATAGCCTATTATAAATTTTACATAAGCCTACAAAAAAATATACTGTGTTGTCCTATTAAGTGTAATATTATTTTCATCATAAAGTAATATTTTATTGTAAATCACATATCACACAATACTTTATTATGCTTCTAAAAGCTAAAGCTAAAATTGCATTTATCTCTGTTAAAGCTAATATCATTTTAAACTAAGCTAAAGTTTTTATTGTAACATTTTTACTTTCTTTTTCTGTTCAATTTACAAACATTTTTACATTATAGCAAAAAGCATATAATTTGGACTTTTCCCCCAAAAATGCTAGTTAATATTATCACATTGGACTAAAACTTATCGACTTTGCTCATGAATGGTATAAACCCTTCCCGAAATATTTTTGTTATTGCTGCACTTGTAGTGTTCCCAAAAATTGCTTATAGAGTTCTGCTATATTGTTATCAAATCAGTCTTTTTAAAAATGTTTTACACAGGTTTTGTAAATCTTTTTGGAACTTACGAGCAGTTTTTAAAAGGCCGGTCATTTTGGACAGAGAAAACTATATTAGGTAAAGGATTTTCAGCACAGCACAAAGTACGACTGGTTTTAAAAGGAATTTGAAAGGCCATTCATGAACAGCCAAACGTCTTGGTCTTGATGACTGATCGCCCAGTGCATCAATGGCATCTTAACAAGACAGTGCAAGTTACAAATAAATGTAAATCTGTCCTTGTGTGTCACTGATCATCTGTGTTGCAGTAAAGGTCTTTCCACTGATGCATGTAAGAGTTTTGAAAATGCTGATGTTATTCCTGTGCTGCTGACGCTTGGCAGTAGGCCCAGTCGCCATCTGACGGTGTGCAGAAATCATGATGGCAGCGCTCTTAATTGTAGCTTGTTTCAGCTATAGGCTTCAGTCTTTTTCAAAATAATACTGATGAAATCGTCACATTCTTAGCATTTTCTTAATGTCTGCAGGAGCTCGTGTCTGTTCTGTCATCGAAACCGTTGCTAATTTCAGATGGTTTATGATCTGCATCCTGGTTTCTGGGTTTTTTTGAACGTTTGTCTCTGCTGAGCGTGGAGAGGTCATCTGTTTAATTACACTGCCTGTCTGCTCATGAAAGCTTTATTGCTCATAGTGTCGCTGTGAGCACTGCAATTACAGTAATTACACCGTGGGATATCTGTGTGCTCCTCTTATTTACTGCTCCCTGATCCAGTCTGTCTTCATAGCTGTGAGGATATTTGTAGAGTAAAATCCCCCCTGACTACCGCTAGAGCATCTGTTGTTGTTTTCTTCAAACAGCAGTTTTCATTCAGTGAGAAGATGCCTGTCATCCGGTCGCCCCATTAAGGCTGTCGGTTGTGAATCACAGTTTCAAACATCGCTCCACAGTCTCTTCGCACGTCTGGCTTTCTCTTGTGCTTTCGTTCCAGAACCCCAGAAGAGGGATTGCACAAACAGCAAGCTCTCTCATCACCTTGGCAACAGTCTCTTATTATGTGCATCATTCTGTCCTGCACATTGCAGCTGTATTCCACATACAGAGCCTTGTTCTGTCGAATGATTTATTTTGGCCTGCCACATTACAAAAAAACAGCATATACTGTGTATTGGCTGCATGGGCTGCTGCTATATTATGCATAGGCATTGCTAAAGCTGTGATTAAGCTGTCAGGCCTATTTAAACAGCCGCAGCAGAAAGATATAGAGCATATTTCATTCCGAATCCTCTCCTTATTGGCTGTTTTAGTCATTGGCTCAGAACCATTCATATGCAGCGCTTCAGAAATGTGTCGATCTGGTTGATTCTGTACCTTATTATCTGTCTGCCTGGTTGTCTCTCTGACAGAGTGGTGAAATTTCGGCGTACAGGTGAAAGCGCTCGCTCAGAGGATGAGTGTGGCGGCAGGGAAGAGGCTTTGCAGGTGGAGGGAGGACGGATGGATATGGAGTCTGTTTCCCTGGCTGATGCTGCTCCGGTGCCTCGGGAATTTGCCAACCCCACTGATGGTATGATTAGTTCATTAATATGCTTATTGTTCACCAGTTGTTACATTTTTGTGTAACAAATGTGATCCTGGACCACAAAACCAGTCCTAATACCTAAGTAGCAGGTATATTTGTAGCAATAGTCAACAATACATTGGTCAAAATTATTGACTTTTCTTTTATGCCAAAAATCTTATTTTATTATTATATATAGTAAAGATTATATTCCATGAAGATATTTAGTAAATTTCTTACCATAAATATTTGAAAACTTCATTTTTGATTAGTAATATGCATTGTTAAGACCTTTTTTGGACAACTCTAAATCTGATTTTCTCAATATTTAGATTTTTTTGCACCCTCAGATTCCAGATTTTCAAATAGTTGTGCTTGGCAGTAGGCCCAGTCGCCATCTGACGGTGTGCAGAAATCATGATGGCAGCGCTCTTAATTGTAGCTTGTTTCAGCTATAGGCTTCAGTCTTTTTCAAAATAATACTGATGAAATCGTCACATTCTTAGCATTTTCTTAATGTCTGCAGGAGCTCGTGTCTGTTCTGTCATCGAAACCGTTGCTAATTTCAGATGGTTTATGATCTGCATCCTGGTTTCTGGGTTTTTTTGAACGTTTGTCTCTGCTGAGCGTGGAGAGGTCATCTGTTTAATTACACTGCCTGTCTGCTCATGAAAGCTTTATTGCTCATAGTGTCGCTGTGAGCACTGCAATTACAGTAATTACACCGTGGGATATCTGTGTGCTCCTCTTATTTACTGCTCCCTGATCCAGTCTGTCTTCATAGCTGTGAGGATATTTGTAGAGTAAAATCCCCCCTGACTACCGCTAGAGCATCTGTTGTTGTTTTCTTCAAACAGCAGTTTTCATTCAGTGAGAAGATGCCTGTCATCCGGTCGCCCCATTAAGGCTGTCGGTTGTGAATCACAGTTTCAAACATCGCTCCACAGTCTCTTCGCACGTCTGGCTTTCTCTTGTGCTTTCGTTCCAGAACCCCAGAAGAGGGATTGCACAAACAGCAAGCTCTCTCATCACCTTGGCAACAGTGGTCAAAATTATCGATTTTTCTTTTATGCCAAAAATCATTAGGATATTAAGATCATGTTCCATGAAGATATTTAGTAAATTTCTTACCATAAATATTTCAAAACTTCATTTTTGATTAGTAATATGCATTGTTAAGACCTTTTTTGGACAACTCTAAATCTGATTTTCTCAATATTTAGATTTTTTTGCACCCTCAGATTCCAGATTTTCAAATAGTTGTATCTCGGCCATTTCTAAAAATGGACCATTATGACTGGTTTTGTGGTCCAGGGTCACAAATGTGTTTTTCAGGAATATTTCTTGAGCCAGGGCTCAAAACCAGTGTTAACCAAAACTTTTTAAAATTGATCTAGTTGATTTGTAATTTTTTTGTTATCTGAAATAAAGCTGAAATAAAATATAAATATTTGAAAAAAAAAAAAAAACTTGGTCACTCTTTATTTTAAGGTCCAATTCTGGTTATTAATTAACTATTAACTACGACTTTTAACGTCAATAAACTCCTAATTACTGTTTAAGTGTAGGTGTTGGGTAGGATTAGGGATGTAGAATATGGTCATGCAGAATATGCGCTTTAGAAGTACTAATAAATAGCCAATACACTATAATATGCATGCAAACAAGCAATTAATAGTGAGAATTGGTCACTATACTGAAGTGCTACCAAACACTTAAATGAAAATTAGAAATGTTGCCCTGGCAAATAACAGAAATAAAATTTACTGAAGAAAAAAAGTTTAAACTGAAGTAAATAACTAACACTAAAACCGAAATAAAAATAAATTCAGCAGAAATATATTAAAAAACTAAACTAAAACATGCACATTAAAAAATGAATGAAGCTTAAACTAAAATTAAAATGAAAATCGAAAATAAAAAAAATAAGAGCTAAGGCAATGTGTTAATAAATACTGTAATTGTATATAAATTATACTAAAATAACACTTTTGAGCATGTTAAATGCTTCCAAAATACAGGATAGTTGATTGCATTATCAGACAGCTCACTAAGCGTCTTTAAGGCAGAACTGTTCTCCATATGTTGCTCTTTTAACAGATACCTTCATGGTTGAGGATGCAGTGGAAGCCATTGGCTTTGGAACGTTCCAGTGGAAACTGTCCATCCTGACTGGACTTTCCTGGGTAACAAAACTTAAACGAAATCCAGAGAGGGAATAATTGTCGTACCCTCACAACCCTGTATAATTACAATCAGTTTGGCTTTGAAATGAAACATTTTATTATTTTATATTATTCAAATGAACACTATCATTTTATAAGCTGTAAATGGAGTAGTTGCTATATTTGTTTCCATATTTCTGATGGTTGTATTTGTGTGCAGATGGCCGACGCCATGGAGATGATGATTCTCAGTATATTGGCCCCTCAACTGCACTGTGAGTGGGCACTGCCCAGCTGGGAGGTGGCACTGCTAACTTCGGTACTGTACACTACTCCTCGAGTCAATAATGACTCCCCTCATGCTTTTTTAGACAGGTTTGGCAGTAGAAATGTTCTTGTTCCGTTAAGCTTTGCATCGTTCATAAATGTGTTTGCCTGAATAACTGCACTGCACATATGTAATGAGTCTCTTACCTTCTCTGAAACAGGTAGTATTTATTGGAATGATGATCAGTTCTTCATTATGGGGAAACATATCTGATAGATATGGGAGAAAAACAGTGAGTATGTTTATAAATTAAAGAGCAGTATGTGCATGTCCAACGGCAACAATGTTGTTTCTAATCTCACTGTGCACCAGCGGGGACTGATTCGAGCTGTGTGTGTGTGTGTGTGTGTGTGTTTGTGGTAGGGTTTGAAGATGAGTGTATTATGGACCCTGTTTTACAGCCTCCTCAGTGCGTTTGCACCTATATACGGATGGATTCTGTTCCTCAGAGCTCTGGTGGGCTTCGGCATTGGAGGGGCTCCACAATCGTAAGTGTGACTCGGATCTGAATGCACACACAACCGTTTAGAAGTTTGGCGTCGTGTGGATTTTTTAAAGTTTCTGAAAGTCTTATTCTCATCAAGGCTGCATTTGGTCAGAAATACTGTAAAACTGTAATATTGTGAAATATTTCAATTGGAAATCTATTTGAATAGATTTTAATATTTAATTTAGTCCTGTGATGGCAAAGCTGAATTTTCAGCAGTCACATTCTAATATGCTGATTTGGTGTTCAAGTAACGTTTCTTATAATTATCAATGTTGAGAATAGTTGTGTTACTTTTTCAAGATTTTTTTTTTGTAAGAAATTCAAAATGTATTGAATTTATTTTAAATTGATTTTTTTTAAACGATGCAAAAAATAATTTAATGCATCCATGTTAAATAAAAGTAAAAATTTAATAAAAAAGAAAGTCCTTCTGTTCTGACCGCAAACTTTTGAATGGTAGCGTACAAACATTTAATGAATTATGGTAAGGAGATTTGCAAGTTCTTTTAATCTATAAATTCTCCATTACAGTTTACCATTTTATATAACAATATCATTAAATAATTAGAGACTTACAGCAAACTTTTGATCTCTCCTATAAGAGTAACATTGTATGCTGAGTTTCTCCCCATGCGGTCCAGAGCCACTTGCATTCTGCTGATAGAGGTAATATTCTATTCTATTCTATTCTATTCTTTAAATACAGGTATCATCATAGCTTGAATGATTAAATAGTTTCAGTTATAAGTTGAACCAAAGCATGGAAATCCTCATAACTAGTATAGCTTAAATGTCTTTTTCTCTCTGATCTGCTGTAGATATTCTGGGCGTTGGGTACAGTATTTGAAGTGCTGCTGGCTATTTTGGTGATGCCAACTTTGGGCTGGCGCTGGCTGCTGGCCCTCTCCACCATTCCACTCTTCATTTTTGCTTTTTTTTGCTTTGTAAGTATGAAGTTCTCAAATATCAGCTCTTAGAGCTAGATATGGACAGACCAAGCCATTTTTTGTGGGGTGAGCAATATATCGTCTGAACAATAGAGTAAGCAAAATGTCTAATGCACATCAACAGTGGCTGCCGGAGAGCGCTCGTTACGACGTCCTGACAGGAAACCAGGAGAAGGCTTTAAACACACTCAAACGCATTGCAACAGAGAATAATGTCCCCATGCCGCTGGGAAAACTCATAGTGGCCAGACAGGTAAAACACTAGTTAAATATACTTTATATCATTTATGCCATTTACGGCTTTCTTTACTTGGTATTATATAGTTAAAACACTTACTATAATTCAGTGTGCTATAGGCGTTGAATCTGCATTGGTGTGTGAAAGTTTTCATACAGACATTATGATTCATTATTATGTTTGTACTTGAAATGATCCTAAATTTATGAAAAAAATAGAACCAACTTAAACCACATGTTCATGTTTTTGTCTGTAGAAAACTATTAGATAATATTATTTATACTACTTACATTGTTATTCTTTTGAATTTCTATTCATCAAAGAATCCTAAAAAATGGTTTCTGCAAAAATATTAAGCAGTGCAACCATTTTCAGCATTGATAATACTAAATGTTTCACTGAAAACTGGAGTAATGGCTGCTAAATTCAGATGTGCCATGACAGGAATAAATTATATATATTTATCAAAATATGTTAAAATAGAAAGCAGTTATTTTCCATTTTAATAATATTTCACAGTATTACTGTATTTATTCTCTCTCTCTCTCTCTCTCTCTCTTATACATATTTTGTCATTTGATCTCTCTTTATTTAGGGTATAATTGTTATTTTTTGTGTTCAGGAGGACAGGGGGAAAATTCAAGATCTTTTCTCTCCACACTTCCGTTGGACCACTGTTCTGCTCTGGTTCATATGGTAAGATGGTTCTCCAAAGTTCTATTAATTATTGTGTAAACACTCATTCAATCACATTATGTAAATGTCTACTACTAAAGCTTTAAAGGACTTTTTTTGTTCCCTGAGATTTTTGTCACATCTCACTCTTTTGTTTCGCAATTTCACTCAGATATTCCACAAAGTTTTGTGTTCTTGCTGCTTTCGTTCATATTCTGTTTATTGTGTGCTTTCTGATGCAGGTTCTCTAATGCATTCTCATATTATGGTGTGGTTTTGCTGACCACTGAGCTTTTCCAGGAGGGAGGCGCCTGTGGTAGTGAGTCAAAGCTTTTGTGTGTTTAAAAAACAGACCGGAGCATAGTGCGAGAATGTAAGGACTATGTATACAATAGAATACCACAATTATTCAATACTGTACAGTATAACCTGTATACTGCCTAATGTTTTTTTTTTAAAATAGTATGTAAATCAGTGTGTTTAATATCATTTCAAACTATACAGTGGTAGAATGCTAACCATACACAACTAATGGATTCTGTGTGCATATATTGGTCGTGTGTCTCCCCCTAGGGGCGAAGGGCAGTAAAAGGGAGCCAAGTTGCAGTTTGGAGTGCAAATATCTGAATTCAGATGATTACAAAGACCTTCTGTGGACCACACTTTCTGAGTTTCCTGGTATATATTTGAATTATAATGCCATTAAAGGAATAGCTCATTCAAAAATGAAAATGTACTCACTCTAAGGCTATTCTGAACCCTGAATTCTGAATTATTCAGACACCAGATATCATTTTTGATATCTTTTTACTAGTGGGTGCAGGACACTATAGTTCATTTATGTAAGTGAGGATAGCAAAATAAAGTAAACTGTGACATATACATCTCACTCTTTTGTTTCGCAATTTCACTCAGATATTCCACAAAGTTTTGTGTTCTTGCTGCTTTCGTTCATATTCTGTTTATTGTGTGCTTTCTGATGCAGGTTCTCTAACGCATTCTCATATTATGGTGTGGTTTTGCTGACCACTGAGCTTTTCCAGGAGGGAGGCGCCTGTGGTAGTGAGTCAAAGCTTTTGTGTGTTTAAAAAACAGACCGGAGCATAGTGCGAGAATGTAAGGACTATGTATACAATAGAATACCACAATTATTCAATACTGTACAGTATAACCTGTATACTGCCTAATGTTTTAAAAAAAAAATAGTATGTAAACCAGTGTGTTTAATATCATTTCAAACTATAGAGTGGTAGAATGCTAACCATACACAACCTTTAATTGCTAATGTGACCTTTTTCACCACAGACTGAACAAAATTAAGCATTGCTTGGTAATTGGTTGACCTAAATCGGTATTATCTAATTGTGTACTGACAGCTATTCTACCTAATTCATTACATATACCTTTCTATCAAAGTTATCTGACATTATCAAGATGAATTTGTTCTGATGTTCTTGTCGTATTTTATTACCATTTTACTATTCGCTAACTATAGCGAATAAACTGTGATACTGTGAGAAACATTGAATGTGTCTGAATAAATTTTGGTTTGACTGTAAATTAAGCATTACATCACTTGCTCACCAATGGATCCTCTGCAGTGAATGGGTGCCGTCAGAATGAAAGCTGAAACAGATGATAAAAGCATCACAATAATCCACAAGTAATTCACACCACTCAAGTTCATCAAATAATGTCTTGTGAAGTGAATAGCTTGTTTGTAAGAAACAAATTCATCATTAGAATGTTCTTAACTTCAAACTGTTGCTTCCAGCTAAAACAGGAGTCCTCTACCCATAATATTGATAGCTCCAGAAAAAAAGTCATCTTGTCTGAATCAGGAAGGAAATATGCACAAATTATGCACCAAAAACAGTCCAAAACAATTCTAAACAAATGTCAGTGGATTTTGAGATAGACTGGAGTCGTGTGGATTATTGTGATGTTTTTATCAGCTGTTTGGACTCTCATTCTGACGGCACCCATTCACTGCAGAGGATCCATTGGTGAGCTAAATGCTAAATCTCTTCAAATCTGTTCCAATGAAGAAACAAACTCATCTACATTTTGAAGTTTCAGCAAATGTTCATTTTCTGAGTGAACTATTCCTTTAACATCTAATTTTTAAATAAGTTATGGCAGGCATAAAGAAAATGTGGCAAACGTATTGATTGATGCATCACAGGCCTGCTGGTGACCCTGTGGGCGATTGATCGATTAGGGAGGAGGATGACTATGGCATTGTGTTTCTTTGTCTTCTCCCTCTGCATTGTGCCGCTCTACGGCTGTGTGGGAAGGTCAGAAGCACTTCTATTACTGTCATTTTTCTAGGGCATTCAAGCCTGTGGTAATCACATTTGTGAACATACTGTGAATAACTACATTGCCTATATTGCAGGACATCTTTGACAGTATTTATATTCATTGCGAGGGCTTTTATCGCTGGAGGTTTCCAGGCTGCATATGTGTACACCCCTGAGGTGAGAACTCTTTTTCAATTCATTTCAGTTGATATAGAATTATTTTGTGGAAGAACTGAGGCTCAAAGGGAAGCTCTATCCTTCTTTGCCCTGTCAAAGGAATATGTAATTGAACATTTGACACTCTTGGCAGATGAACTGTATGGAGAGTAAAGCCTGTAGACTGTCAGTGTAGTGTTAAATGTTTTGCTCAAGGCAACAGCTGTGCTGGAGAAGGATTTTGACCTTGGGAAGCGTCCAGGTCCTGGCTCACTCCCAGCACTTGGCAGCCATTGCAACAGCTCACCTGACATAAAACAGGCTGCTTTGTCATCCTACTTTTCATGAACCACTGGAGTTCATCTCCAGAAACAGGACTGAAGGGTTGAATATTACATAGAGTGTCTGTAGGTTGCTTAAGAACGTAGTTACTGACTGTATATTACCTAAAGGAGCGAAGCAGTTTACCTAACTACATTAATCTCTGTCCGTGATATTTAACTGATTTTGAAAGTGTTTACAGCATAACAGCATGCTGAAGAAACTTTAGTGAAGTAATAGGTCCATGTAGGTCAGATAGATCCATTCACTAACCACCCTGTGGTTAAGTAACAGTTCAATGTTCACACTGAGAAGATCTTTGCTATAACTCACTCAGTATTTCTTTTGCAGGTGTATCCCACAGCCACGAGGGCACTGGGTTTGGGCACCAGTAGTGGGATGGCTCGGGTTGGAGCTCTCATCACACCATTTGTGGCACAGGTGTGGAAATAATAACAAATAAAGGACATAAAATACAGAATAATGTAAATACCCAATCAAAAATACGCACAGACTAAAAAACAACAAATATTATAATAAAGCAATAAGCCCCAAGAAGCCGTGGTTTACAGTGAATTTATAACAGCTAAGGGGTGTTGTTAGGCACGACGCGAAGCGGAAAACCCCTTTAGCTGTTATAAATTCACTGTAAACCATGGCTTCACGGGGCTTATTGCTTTTATAAAACGGTTATTCCATATACGTGGTAAGGTTTCACAAAATAAAACAGAGCAAATAAAGTGTAAATATATTAGTAAAAACATTATTCTTCCGCCAAACAATGTAGTTCCTCAGAAACGGTTGTGGTTCCAACAAAGTGGTTGCCGAGCAACACACAAACGTAAACAAAGGTGTATGTTTGTAGTGTAATTTACAACAGCTTCGAACTTGGCTCAACCAATCAGAATCAAGGACCAGAACTATCCGTTTTATAAAAAATATTTTGAATGATATTATAAATGCTGGAGATCCAATATACTTGCTATTTTTTTATTTACTTTTTATATTTGCTTTTAACAGTTAAAACACTTCATGTATTACAGTGGTGTTGAATCTGTGGCAGTTTGGGCAGATGATCAGATATGCTGAGCTCTGGTGCTCATGTGGGCTGCATGATTTTGAGTCCAGCTTGCAAAAAACTCACTCTGCGAACAACAATTCAAAGAGTTACCAGAAATATGACTAAAAAAGAGAGACGAAAAAGACAAGGGGGCTCATTCACTAACTGCATGTGTGTAAATGTTTTCAGAAATGATGATTCATTAATAAGTTTGTACTTAAAATTATTTTACATTTATGAAAAAAAAACTCGAAGCAAGGTTTGTGTTCACATTTTTGTATACACTAAACTATTACACACTATTATTTATACTATATTATTCTTTTGAATCCTGAAAAATGTGTTGTGGTTTATGCAAAAACAATAAGCGGCACAACCATTTTCAGCAGTAATAATAATAAGAAATGTTTCTTGAGCACGAAATCAGCATATTAGAATGATTTCTGAAGGATCATAGGACACTGAAGACTGGAGTAATGATGCTGAAGATTTAGCTTTGCCATCAAAGTAAAAAAAATGATAAATTCAATGTATTGACATAGAAATCAGTTCTTTTAAATTGTATTAATATTTCACAGTGTTACTGTTGTTACTGTGTTTTTGATCAAATAAATGCAATCTTGGTGAACATTAGAGACTTCTTTAAAAACATTAATCTAAGACTTGAATCTTACTAAACTGTTGAATGCGTGACCTAGAAGAATTTGTCTCTGCTTCTTTCCTCAAGGTGATGCTGGAATCATCTGTGTACCTGACTCTGTCGGTGTACTGCTGCTGCTGTTTGCTGGCTGCTATCGCTTCCTGTGCCCTGCCCATAGAGACCACAGGACGAGGCCTCCAGGAGTCCAGTCACAGAGAGTGGGGCCAGGAGATGATGGGACGGGCCTCAGACCACAGTCCTGGAGGGATTCCACATTCCAGCTCTGGATCACAGGACTAAGAAACACCACAGATAGACTTTGTAGAAGAAATTGGGAATCTTTTCTGTAAAAAAAAAACAAGCAATGTGTGTCCACAAAGGAATAGCATTTTAAGAACTCTTGGTTTTGATTTAAATCCGTCCATTAATGACACATTCCTCCACCAAAGGTTGCAGGGTTTCTTTTTATGGACCTCCAAACCAGAGAAATGGAGTGGAATAGATTCCCATCACATAATACTCCCCTTTTGCCCAAAGGAACTACAACAGGAAATGGGTCGAAAATCGATCTAAAACGTGACAAATTGCATTATAACACATGAAATCACTCTCACATGTTCAGAGGATCTGAGGAGCGTTTGAACAACGAAAGATTTGAACCTGAAGTCATGAAGTTGAAAGATAGCACAAGAGAATGTACGATTGCGACAGGTTTAGTACGACAGCAAGTAGAAAGAGGATTTGTTTAATTTTTTAAGAGGGCTATACACACCAGCATTCCTTTGGCAAAGTCATGAAAACTTTTATCTCTTCATTGAAGCAGACAGGATGCTGCTATTAATCAGACATTGCACCAGTTTGTGGTCTGTTATCTTGCTTTTTTCAACCATTTACCATCCATTCACAGTTTTAGACTTTCGCTGACACCAGTGATGTATCTAGTGGACACCCAAGTCTTCATTTCGCACCTTGAGAGCACCTCTCTTCATCCGTTCACCGGCTGCCAACTGCAATCACTCATGTAAAGTGTATAAACTCCAGTTGATCCCTTATAATCAGGCATATCAAAGGTTATTGGATTCTTATTATCTTAAAATACAGCTCAATAACAATAAAACAATAGCAAGTGGCTTTCATCAGAGCAGGTCTGTAGGTCACATTTATTTTATTATTGTCTATTCTAGCACATCAGGCTCCAAGCGCATTTTTCAAACAACGGCTTGCATCACAACACACAACATTTAGCAACAATCTTTGTTTATTCAGCTCGACTGCTCAATGCTATATTCGGTTATTTGTATTTCTGCCTTTTCAACTGTACAGTGGATATGTGTGTGGCATGATGGGAAGTGTGCAGTTGTTCCTGTGAGTACAGAGAGTTGCCTGCCTTTTGTGTTTTGTGTCTGTGCGCACAGATCTCTTGCCACTGCACTGGATGTACATGTATGATAAGAATAAATTATGCTTCAAGAAAAAAAAAGTGAGTATATGTATCTTTATTATAGATTAGTGCAAATAAATGTAGAGAAATGTATGAAATTCTGAAGATGCATTATCTCTTGGGGGAATCAGTGTGATAATTGTTATTAGATTAGTGAGAATAAGAATTGATACTGTAGATAACATGTCTAAACATTTGTCCAGAGGCATAGATCTATTAGAGACGTGATTTAGAGTATGCTAGCACGCCTTTCTGCTCCAGGATCTGTCCAAAGAGACGAGCAGCTTCCTCAGCACATCCACGATGGATGGTCAGTCCAAAACCACCATGTCCGTAGTTATGAATGACCTGAGGTGAAAGAAAACAGAAAACATGGTGTGTGAACAGAGAATCGTGAATCTGCGGAGCCCAAAGGGGCATCATGATGGAAAAAATATGAGATGGAAGGAAAAATGAAAAAATCATTTACTTGGAACACTTTAAACTTTGCAAAACGTTTGTGTTTGCCTGAAAACGCAGCCACTGCAAATCATTAGTTCTTTGTGTCAGTTCGTCTTAAATAGAATATGCATCAGTTTGCGGTCTGAGATTTGTTGTTCATGCCAAACCGCATCCAGTGTAGACAGAATCTGATTTTAATGGGTTTTATAAAGGGTTTATGGTTTTATCGTCCAATGCAGGCACAATGTTATTCTTTTGCTTAGTAATATTTTGCATTTACTTGCAATCAACTTGCAATACTTTTACGTTCACTGGCAAAACTTTTGCATTTACTTGCAAAACTTTTATGTTCTCTTGCAAATCCTTCATTTGTAGAAGTAGTACTGTGTTAAGGCAAAATATCTTATTGCAGTAATGCATTTTTTTGTCCCATGTCATATTTTTCCAATAACATGTCCATTTAGGGGCTCTTTATTAATTATATATTATCTTGGATATTTATGTTGTAAAATGGCATCAGATCTTAAGTGTAATGGTCATTCTATGAGCTCACCTCAAACGAGGTTGGTTCAGATCGTATGGTCTCTCTCTCCAGTCTAACTTTGCTGCGTGCGGGCCTGAGACCAGTCCAGTCCTCTACTATCCGCGCATGCTAGAGAAAAAAAACGACATCCAATCCACTCATGCCACTCAAACAAGCAAGGCTAAAATAGTTGAAACTACCTGTAGACTGGGCTCAAGTTTGCAGGCGGCTTCCCAGATTCCTTTATGGTCCACAGAACTATTCTGCAGATTCCAGTTTCCTACTTGGAAAACTCCACCCACAGTGACTAAACGACTCCTGCGGAAACAAAATGACCTGAGGTAATGTACAGTACATCACTGCTAAGACAAGACTACACTGCACTTCATTACAAACACAAGTGAAAAATGAGCAACAATGCTTATGTTATTACGTGTTATTTTAGTATTACATACCATCCCAGTATTTATTAATATTTTCATTTAGCTTTTATTTTATATTTTCAGTTTTCATTTTATTTTTTGTTAAATTTTTATCAATATTGTTGTGCCTTTGTCATTTGTTTTAGTTTTTTATATATTTATATTTAGCTTCAATTTATTTTTTATTTTAGCTTTTTTAGCACTTAAAGGGGTCATATGATGCGATTTCAATTTTTCCTTTCTCTTTGGAGTGTAGGTATTCGGCCAATCACAACGCATTGGATAGCTGGCCAATCAGAGCACACCTCGCTTTTCAGACTGATGAGCTTTGTAAAAATCGACGCGTTTCAAAAAGGCGGGGCATAGAAGAGAAACAATAATGTACAGTATGTGGAAAATAATGTGTTTTTTGAATCTTAAACCGCATAAACACATTTCATTACACCAAATACACAAAATAATGTTCTTTTTAGCAACGTCATATGACCCCTTTAAACGTATTCCAGATTGAAAATGCAACGTTTTAAATATTTTTTTAATCTACTATTTACATTTTATTTTATTTCAGTTTTCTTTAGATTACAGTAAATGCAGAAAAGTGTCATCATGAAGAGGCTCACCCAGGAATGATGTACGGTGAGTTATAGACTCCTGATGAGGAATCATGTGTGAGGATCCAGTGTTTCAACCAGGGAGCGTCTACCTGTTGATATAAAAAACATGAGATCAGAGCAGTTCCATGTAAATGCTTTAAGTCTGATTGACTTTTATCCACTAAACCTCACCTTAATGATCTGTCCTCTGGCTGGCTGGAGCTCAGGATCAGGCTGGAGGTCTCTTGATCGGACACCGGAGCAGTTGATGATAACATCAGCACCACTATCTGCCAACTGAAGCCCATTTTTGAGGTCATTACAAATTACACATTTTATGATTACTTTTTTACAGTATATATGAGGAAAGCATAATCTGAACATTAAATTAATTAAATTAGAGTTAGAGAATCTGCTTATAATATGTTATGTTAAAACTAGTGTAAGGTAATCTTACTGATTTTAACAATCAAGTTAACATATACACTACCATTCAAAAGTTTGGGGTAGCTAAGATATTTTAATGTTTAAATCTCTTATGCTGAATAAAATACAATAAAAGCAGTAATATTGTGAAATATTATAACAATATTATTATTGTAATATTATTACAAAAGAACTGTTTTATATATTTTAACAACTATTTAAATACATGTTAAAATTAATTTATTTCTGAGATGTCAAAGCTGAATTTTCAGCAGACATTACTCCAGTCTTCAGTGTCACATGATCCTTCAGAAATCATTCTAATATGCGATTTTTCATTTCTACATATATATTATCAATGATGAAAACAGTTGTGCTGCTTAATATTTTTGTGGGAATGATGATACTTTTTTTCAAGAGCCTTTGATGAATAGAAAGTTGTAAAGATCAGTCTTTATTTGAAATGGAATTATTTTGTTACATTGTAAATGTCTCAACTGTCACACTTAATTGTGATCAAATTAATGTGTTCTTGATTAATGATTTCTTTTTAATAGGTAGTGTAAATTTTAATTAAAAAAGATTAATGGAAATGAAAAAGCAATTGCTCAGACCTCTTTAAATGAACCAATCTTCCTCTGATAAAACTTGACCTTTCTTTGTCTTAACCTGCAGAAAACACAGAAATGTGACCAAAGTGTCAAAGATAGTGTTAATCATTGTTAGGCCAGAAAAGAGTAACAGAACAGCAGATCACAACAGATTTTACATGACTATATACATGCATAAGTTATTCTGATGCATATACAGTAAAACAGAAGAATAAAAATATTCATGTAAAAATTGGAGACACACATATATGCAAGATGTCTAGACACATAATATACATGTAATATACAAGTCTAGAAATCTAAAAGATTACTTATTCATTTTAAGTCAAAATGCTTATTTGTTTTACATTTTTTTTAATGTAACAATTTCTAAGCTTATATTACAGTTTGAATTGTGGACTCTTGAACTCCACTGTTATATTCTATTTCATTCCAATTCTAATGTTGGTTACTGATTAGATAACGGGAATCTCTCACCAGTCCATAAGCCAGGGCAGGTATGTCTTTCCTTCAATCATGAGAGCGGTGTTAAACCAACCAAAACTGAAAAGATAGAAGGAAAACGGAAAAGTGACGTATGCAATTTTACAAAAATAAATACTACAACCATCAAAGGGTAAAACAACAAAACAAGTCAGCGTCATCAAATTATAGAAATAGCTTGTGAGGAGATGCAGTTGATAAGTACCTGTATCCCGGGAACATGTCTAGTTCACGTTTAGTCAGCTGGCGAAAACCCAACACCGCATCTTTAAATGAGGGGTCCTGTTTGAGGGGAGCAGAGAGATTGAGTCATTTTCACAATTATCTCTTGGGTCAGTGAGATGGGTCGGTTACAGTATGTCCCGTGAGTCAGAACTTGCGGTTTATTATATGCCATTCTGTAGATAATGACATTATATGCAATGGGAAGATAATGTTCTTACTGGCAGGGGTTCAGTGCACAGATTGTAGCCAGACTGAAGGAAGATTCCCATTTTCACTGAATCTGGAGAGCTGAGGCAACTTAGTAGATAGTCAAACGTTTCTTTGTTCCATTTACTGAGAAAAGGAAATAAAACATTTTATTGAGATGCACCTGTATTGTAATGTTGTAAACTGATTGGAGAAAATTTTCAATACAAACCTGTGTATTCTGAATCATCCACCAGTGAATACATAATGCTGCCATATGTTTGCATTGTCACGGGAAAGGCTTAATTTGTTTTATTAAGTCTTATGTCCATAAAAACTCCAAAGAGACACAATTTCAAAGTTAAAATTTATAATGACAACTAACAAGGTTATAGAGCTTGAGTTGTTTTTATTAGTTGAATCCTTGTCAATTGTAACTTAATAGTTAATGCCTTGCATGTAATATCAAGCTGGAATCCACACTTTTACATTTATGCATGTGGCATGTTGCATTACACTGCATTCAAGGTATACTTCATATTTTATAAAAGGACAGCTTTACTCACCACACTTTTTTGTCTTGTTACCTCCAAAAAAGAGATCGATGTTGTCCTAAACACGTCCTTATCTTCTCTCTTGCAAGAACAGTGCAAGGACAGGGCGCAAAACTTACAAATGAACTTTTTCCCACGTTACGTAACGTCAGCTGTGACGTTGAGGTGGCGCTATTCGTGTGTTATTCAGTAAAGGCTCAGTATGGGCTGGATTCTCAATACTAGTCTTACTATTTTTGCATGGTAGAAATAGTAAAAGTCGTATTCTAGATGCTATTCCCAATTCAAATGGTGGGCGTTTTGATTCCTCTTAATGATTCGAATCTTTTTAAAAATTTGTTCACTAAAAAGATTCGTTTATACACTTGCGTTACATCATTACTCCAGCCGGTGGCAACAAATCTTTTGTGAATCATTTACTCGAGAAACATTTCTGTTATTGCAGGCCAGGGTGCATTAAAGCTGCATGCAGTCCGTAACTTTTTTGTGTGTTCAAAATTTACAAATTTTTATAATATGCGAGTAGTACACCATGAATCCATTTTCCAACCCGTGTTGTTGGCTTGTCCTGAATCACTACGGTACACCTATGATAAGTGTTTATATTCGGACTATTTTAGGCTGGTTCGGGTAGGCACCGCTGCGGAGTAGCCCAGCACCTGCGTGATTCGCCATAGACATAAACAGAGAGAAGTAGCTCCGGCTACAATGTTCTTCCGCAAGACGCACGCAGTTCTGTTTATTAACCGCTAGAGCTCCAAAAGTTACAGACTGCAGCTTTAACTTCAAGGTAAATTCTGGGTTTTTGTCAAACCTTATCAAAACACGCCACCTTCACATAGATGTCAGCACAAACATTACAATACTCCTTTTCCCCAGCTCTAGGTTTGTAACGTGAGCAGTTGTTCCTATGTGTACAGACTTCAGAGAGCAATTTTGTGTTTTTGTCTGTGTACACAGAGAGTGTGTATCCTCCTGTACCTTTTTTTTCTAATTACCTTGACTTTAACATTTTCTTTTATTTCTTTGATAAAGTAATTTATGATGCAGGTCAGAACTACCAGAATAATACATCCGACTTGTTTGTTATATATAATAAATAAAACAAACTCCAGTTGATCCCTTATAATCAAGCATATCAAAGGTTATAGTCACCACTATCATCTATGGGGTCACCAAACTCGGTCCTGGAGGGCCAGTGTCCTGCAGAGTTAATTAAACACACCTGAACCAGCTAATCAAGGTCTGACTTGGTATACTTGAAACTTCCAGGCAGGTGTGTTGAGGCAAGTTGAAGCTAAACTCTGCAGGACAGTGGCCCTCCAGGACTGAGTTTGGTGACCCCTGATCTAAGACAGTGGTCTCAAACTCAATTCCTGGAGAGTCACGTACAGGTCTGCACAATTTAGCTCCAACCCTAATCAAACACACATGATGCAGCTGATCAAACTCTTCAAGATTACTTGAAACTTCCAAGAAGGTGTAAGTTGGAGCTGGCTGGAGCTAAACTCTGCAGAGCTGTGGCCATCCAACAATTGAGTTTGAGACCACTGACCTAAGAGCTGACTCACTAACAGTATATTTTTTATCAACCAATAATGATCAAAAAATGTATTTTTTTATACCTAATATTTTTTGTTGTTCCAAATAATATAACTATGTAGAAATAGTAAAAGTAGTATGCTATTCCCAATTCAGGGCGTTTTGATTCATCTTTTTGATTTGTTCACTAGAAAGATTTGTTTATACACTTGTGTTACATTGTTACTCCAGCAGGTGGAAACAAATCTTTTGTGAGTCATTTGTCCCAGAAACATTTGTGTATTTAATAAGTAATAAATTATACAGAATAATTATTGCCTTCCGGTTGTACAGGTATGTATCAGATTGTATTTTTCAGGTCTTGGTGTAATTTTTATGTATTTATAAAAATGCAAATGTATTTATTTATTATTTATAAAACTGTTTATACATTATGTACCTGTTTTTTTTTTACTATTTTTATATACTGCCTTCATATATGCAATGTATACTGGAACATGATTTGATAGGGGCATTATATGAAGTAGAAGATACCTGAAAAAGTCTAGTGTTCAGACAGTCGAAGAGCAGGATCCCTTGCCACTACAGTGATGTACATGTGCATGATAATAATAAAGCTTAATTGAAAAAACATTAGATCAAACATAAATAAATCATGCTAGCATCTGATTCTTTATTGTACATTAGCTGAATAACATGTTGACAATTCAGCTCTGTTATGATTCTGTTATGTTATCTTTTATTTGAAAGCTCTATTAAAGTATAATAAAAAATAATATATGTACATTTACATATATTGTAGAAATTATGTCTAACATTGCCCAGAGGCCCAGATCTATTAGAGACGTGATTTAGAGTATGCTAGCACGCCGTTCTGCTCCAGGATCTGTCCAAAGAGACGAGCAGCTTCCTCAGCACATCCACGATGGATGGTCAGTCCAAAACCACCATGTCCGTAGTTATGAATGACCTGAGGTGAAAGAAAACAGCACGGTGTGTGAAAAGAGGCAAAGTTAATAAGAAGAAATACTGCTCTCATTTCTATGAGCTCACCTCAAACGAGGTTGGTTCAGATCGTATGGTCTCTCTCTCCAGTCTAACTGTGCTGCGTGCGGGCCTGAGACCAGTCCAGTCCTCTACTATCCGCGCATGCTAGAGAGAGAGAAAACTGAGCAAATCTGTGGGAATATGGAAAATCACACCTTAAATAACAGATTTTGACAACATGTGATCTCCTACCTGTAGACTGGGCTCAAGCTTGCAGGCAGATTCCCACATGTTTTTATGGTCAACAGAACTGTTCTGCAGATTCCAGTTTCCTACTTGGAAAACTCCACCAACAGTGACTAAACGACTCCTGCGGAAACAAACTGAGGTCATGTGCATCTGTCCTGGGACAAGACTACATTTTGCATTTTATAATAAACACAACTTAAAATGGGAACCTACACAGCATGTTTTCCTTTATCTCTAAATGTCTTTTTTTTCAAATATACATCGACTGTGATGAAAAATAAACTCACCCGGGTATGATGTACGCTGAATTGCCTCTAGACGAGAAATTATGTGTGGAGATCCAATGTTTTATCCAGGGAGCATCTATCTGTTGTCATACAGCACAGAATCAGAGACTGTCTAAAACTCAAAACCTGATTGACTTTTATCCGCTAAACCTCACCTTAATGATCTGTCCTCTGGCTGGCTGGAGCTCAGGATCAGGCTGGAGGTCTCCTGATCGGACACCGGAGCAGTTGATGATAACATCAGCACCACTATCTGCCAACTGAAGCATATTTTTAGGTCATTACAAAGTGTGACCACAATCACTTCACAACAGGATAGATGATGTTCACACAGCTCAAAAATAAATAAAAAATAGCATTGCTACACTTGGGCCACTCATACAGAATGTTTTTTGCAGTAAAAAAACAAACAAACGTGCAAACCTCTTTAAATGAACCAATCTTTCTTTGATGAAACTTGACATTTCTTTGTTTTAACCTGTATTGAGAATACCAGAAATTGACTAAAATGTCATACCTGAAACCTATGTATATATATACACACATACATACATACATAGTATGTATATCTTTACATATATGCATACAGCATGCAGCTTCATCCTAGTTTATGCTACTGAGAAGATCTAAGATCTCTCACCAGTCCATAAGCCAGGGCAGGTATGTCTTTCCTTCAATCATGAGAGTGGTGTTGAACCACCCAAAACTAGGGAAAGTGGAAATGGAGATGTAGATGTGACACTGAGATCCATCCATTACATTCAGATTGAGCTGAAATATATAATATAATACATAGGTCTGCCCTGTTTCAATTTGAATGTCTAATTAAACTGAATATTACTCCATGTCTTGTACAGGACTTTGACTTCAAAAACAATGTCAGCGATATCAGTTTAAATCAATTATCTAAATAAACAAAGTTGATAAGTACCTGTATCCCGGGAACATGTCTAGTTCACGTTTAGTCAGCTGGCGAAAACCCAACACGGCATCTTTAAATGAGGGGTCCTGTTTGAGGGGAGCAGAGAGACAGCTACAAAATATACCTAAAATATAGCATTGTTCAATGAAATGCCATGTGAACTATGTATTTTAAATATAAAGCATTTTTACGAAGGAAATGATAGTGTTCTCACTGGTGCAGTTTCAGAGCACAGATTGTAGCCAGACTGAAGGAAGATTCCCATTTTCACTGAATCTGGAGAGCTGAGGCAACTTAGTAGATAGTCAAACGTTTCTTTGTTCCATTTACTGAGAAAAGGAAACAGACATTTTACTTGCTGCTATAGATTATACAGCATCTTGGGTTCTTCAGGATAACTGAGAAACATAAGGATGTGCTTCAACCGATTCACTGACACTTTTAGATTCAGACACTTTGACACAAATGAAAGCTCACGTTTCATGTACATTGCCCTTGTCGTAGAGATACGGCTGCCATAGTCCAGCTGCCCCGTCGCTGGTGGTGAGTGGAGTGAAGACATCAGCATACACCTCTATGGTGAGGGGGCTGATCCTGCTGTGGAAGTGCTGGTAGATGCTCTGAGCGGTGGAGAGGCCGATGACCCCCGCTCCAATGATGCACACCCTCATGTCTGCAGAAAAAAAGTGCCATAAACATGCAAATGTGGCTTTAGTAAATCTATTTGCAGATATGAAAACAAAATTAGGTTTGTATATGTGGGAAAGTACTTTGTACAACCCCACAGGCTTTTTTTTTTATTATTTTTTTTATCAGCAGTTCTTTTTATTTCTAAAATGGATTTCTGCTTTATTCTGCTGTGTAAACAAAATGTAGCACCAGATATGTCAAGCCGATGACCCCCGCTCCAATGATGCACACCCTCATGTCTGCAGAAAAAAAGTGCCATAAACATGCAAATGTGGCTTTAGTAAATCTATTTGCAGATATGAAAACAAAATTAGGTTTGTATATGTGGGAAAGTACTTTGTACAACCCCACAGGCTTTTTTTTAATTTATTTTTTTTATCAGCAGTTCTTTTTATTTCTAAAATGGATTTCTGCTTTACTCTGCTGTGTAAACAAAATGTAGCACCAGATATATGTCAACACCAAATATCACCAGACAATGCTGCCACGTGTTTATTCGTGCAGCTGACTTGATATTAATGAAAAATATTTTTGCAAATAACGTGCAAAAACGTGCATGTGTATTTCAGAGAAATCTGCACAAACAAATATTACATACTGTAGGCCTATATGCAAACTTGAAAGACATTATTTTAGTTTTCCTTCTTGTTCACCTTCATGTAAGCTTTTTATGGTTTAACAGGTGATACACTGCATGTACTGTATTACAAAGATGGAAAGAATTTATTAAAGAAACAGTTTCACTCACCGGAATTATAAATTGACCAGACGTTATCTCCAATCCTGCAAGCTCTTCTTCACTCTCTCTTATATACACTGCCGTGTGCTATGCAATCACAGATGGATTTAGGCAGAAAACAGAATTTACTGCTTAACTAATTCTTTATTACCTAACTCCCATAACGTAATCAACAAGTGCCTGAGTCTACTCATTCGTTCACACAAAGCTTGATGATGGGGTAAAGTCCACCGGATTAGAACCAGCCTCTAGTGGCCTCTTGAGGTCTGTAAAAGTTTCACTTGAGCAAATATATTTAGCCTAATTCATTCGCAGAGCAACTCTGGAAAATGTATATTTGGTCAAAATGATCAGTAGTATTAATATGTAATGTTAACTTAAAAAAATACACATAACATTTAAAAAAAATTGGTAATTAACAACACTATACAAATATACACAACACCATGACACCTAAAATGACTATTCTACCGGAAACCACCCTGATTTTTGCCCTGATTTTATTCTTATTAGTGGTGGGTATTTTGATTGAGTTCAGTTGATTCAGTGCTTGTGTCTTTTCAATAACCTTTCAGAGACAAAAAAAAAAAACGTTCAGATTGGTCCAGTAGCCCGGCACGTCGCATCGTGATGCCAGTAGGTGGCGACAAGTGTCTTTATGTGCGACATTGAGTCACTGAAGTTATTGAATTAACCATTCAACCGATTCGTTATTCGACCGTGACCGCAACAGCACGACGTCTTCAAATCAAAAATACAGAAACAATCTAGGCGTTTTTCCCACAGTTGGAGATCTACATCATCTACATTCATTTTGTCACATGCTTGGCATGGCCTATAAAAAACAACAATGGGAGCAGCAGCCTAAATAAACCCAGCTTCACTTTACCACATACAATAGATACTAGACTCCCAGTTCATTCATATGCCCGAGGAAATGCCTCGTTCAGATTCAAAACACTGACTCGTTCAGTGAAGGGCGTGTTTGTTCGGTAAGTTCAACCAATGATAAGCGCCTACACCGCTCGTACTCGAATACTATTGGTCCATACTACTGTCAGTCTTTGAAGGCAGAAAAAGGGTCAACGCCCTTTCAAAGGGAGGGACTCGTTGGCCGAACAATATGGAAGTGAATCGTTCACTTACAAGATTCATTCAAAAACACCGATTCGTTCACAACTGAGACAGCACTACAGGCTGTGTGAGCTGAAGGCAGCCACATGCGGCAGTGAGTGAGTGAGTGAGTGAGAGTGAGTGAGAGAGTGTGAAGCACCAAAACATCATCCAGCTCATGTCAAAACGGAATCAGCGACACAAAAAACGCCGAACAGCGGCTCAGCCATGGCCTTTTAACAGCGGTCCCATCGAGCGCAATCCCCGTATATCTGGCGCTGCTGCTAGGGGAAAATCCGCTAGTCGGTTTAGCTTGTGTCAGATAGACTGGCCGTTGTGCTGGGAGATTTCCATCCATGGCTCTGGTAACCCTGCAGCGCTCGCCCACTCCCAGCGCGGCGTCCACTTCCAGCACCGCCACCACCAACGCGGGGGAGGTAAGCGGAAATAAACACGGCGAGATGAGATGTGATGATGTAATGATTAATAAAAACACAACAGAACCCTTATATATGAGTCACGTAGGCCCAATGCTAATACAGCTCAGGCTGTAAAGCTAACTAGCGGGATGCCATCAGGGTTGATGGAGGATTGAACGCTGTGTCACTGCGTCTGTCTGCTGTTGTGAGATGACATGATTCGCCTTTGGGCGTTTTGTGGACTATACATGGCATTCTTGACGTGATTTCTTAAATTCAACTTGATCATTCACCCTAATCTTGTCTGTTTTGTGATGGTGCTTCATCTTTGTTGGTAGACAGTGTTTATGGTTGTGATGCTCTTGAGTTGAATCCTGTCTTCAGGAGAAAGTGTTTGACAGGGCTGTTGTACTTTATTGAGCTAATGGCTTGTTTCCAGGCTGTCTTGCAATTTGTGGTTTAATGATTGCGAAAGAATATGTCTGGTTTTAGTGGAAAAAAAAATACAAAAACACTGTTTTGTTTGGAACTGATTGGTTTAACTAAGTATTATTCATGGATATCATGCCAAGCCGTAAAGGTGGACTCAGTATGTTTTACTTAAACGGTATACACATACATGAAGAAGACCTTTTGTAAAAAAAAATTACTAAAATTATGTACATCCACAGAAGGTTAAAACTTAAGACATATCAGCCGTCCATTAAAAAAAAAAAAATCGGTTTTATTTTATATGGAGCGGGTCGCCCCTTCATGGGCGCCGCAGTGTTGACATCACGTGACCAGTCTTGTCACGCTGTTGAGTGCGTCAGTGTGCAAGGTGCTATGCAAAGCATAAACATAACAGTAATACAAACTATGTTCTTTGTATTAGGAATGTTATTTGTTACTAAAAAAACGAATTCTTAAAATAGCTTAAAATATATATTAAAAATTACTAGTGTAATAGTTAATAGTTAAATCTTCAAAGACACTTAATACCGTCTTGTCACGCAGTTGAGTGCGTCAGTGTGCAAGGTGCTATGCAAAGCATAAACATAACAGTAATACAAACTATGTTCTTTGTATTAGGAATGTTATTTGTTACTAAAAAAACGAATTCTTAAAATAGCTTAAAATATATCTTAAAAATGACTAGTCTAATAGTTAATAGTTAAATCTTCAAAGACACTTAATAATAAGAAATGCACCTTTTTCTTTTGAGCTGTAATGAGATCTTTTATGTACTGTGAATTATATATTTAATGTTATTAGCATGTTTTTTTTCTGTGTTCTCTTCTTTCCAGTATCTCTGTCCTGTTCCAAATACAATTGTTACTGTTTGAGTATATAGCGTCGCTTGAGGTTTTTCAAGACTGTTTGAAAACTATATTTACACACTATTGTTCATCTTTTTTTTTTTTTTTGGAATTTCAATAAAATAATTCAAATAAAAGTACATCTAAACAAAACAAACACAATTAATTATATTACAGACACAATGTAACTGTTGTTATTGGTGGGATGAATAGGAACCAGCTAAACTTAAACAATTTTCTTGTAGGCTTTAATTGTCTTTCCTTCTTGAAAGCACCCCACCTTCATCAAATGTTGCCTTAGAAACCCATTTTACACCCAGTAGGGGGCGCTATCTCTACACTTTTGAATGGGAGCGCACAAAACACAGTGACATGGTCTGATGACTACTCTACTATGAGACTAACTAAAGCTGAATGAATTTTAGATATTTGTATACTATTATTATGATAAACACAGTTCAGTAGCAGTACCGGGGTCAGATTATCAATATGCTTGAAACTCTGTAATGTGGTCTAACTTTGTAATGTGGTCTTTTACTTCTTAGTTGTACTAAATCTTCTTTTTTTTCATTAAGTTCAGATCTTTAATGTTTAAATCTATATTGTGGTTAAATTTAAAGGCCCGTTCTCACAAAGGATGATGACTATAATGATAGAGATATAGTTCTAAAAATCATTCTTAATTTAAAAGAAAAGCAGAGTCCACATCACAACTATAATGGTTATGCCACAAAGGAACGATAACATTGGAATCACATGCAGAATGATTTTGCTCCAACTGATGAATGATAAAAATATCGATAGCTTATCAGAATCCATCCTGCTTTAAAGAGCTCGAGCATTTCAAGCGGCACATGTCAAAACTGCAGTCCGCGCTTATAATAAACAGAATGTTATTGTGTGTTGGTGTGGATGCTAATGTAGTTATTGTTATTATATGTTATTGTTCTTGTGTGAACGGGCCTTAAGAATAATTGCGTAATGTACTACGCTAGCAAGGACACACGCTATTTAGAATTCACAGCACAATCTCAAACATGAGGACTGGGGAACATGCAGCTGCAGTGACGTCATCTCATGCAGAGACTGAGGGAGGGAGAGAGAGAGAGAGAGAGGGAGGGATAGACAGACTGATACAAGGCATGGGTAGAGAGGTAACGAGAGATGTAAAATAAAAACTCGTTGAAGAGGAATAATGGTTTAAGGTTTCAAGGGTAAAAATCTGCAGAAGCTTTGTGTGTGGTATTTGGGTTCAATTTAACATGAAATCAAAATTGAAACTCTTTATTTTCTTAAAGTATTAGTTCATATAAAAATTTAAATGCTGTCATTGTTTACTCACCCTCATGTCGTCCCAAACTTGAATGACCTTGCCTTAAACTGAAGTCAAATTTTTGAAGACAAAAAACAACAACATAAAAGTAAGCCTAGTTCAGGAGTGGTCCCTATAACTCTTGCATTACTAATTTTCTGAAACCAGTGGAATTTTATAGCTTTGTGTCTAATCTGTTGATCCAGTTCACAGAATTATTCTTAATCATTTAGTCACAAATGATCTGGTTCTCAAGTTCAAATCACTGATTCAGTGATCTGACTCAGCGGTTAAAGGGTCATTAATTACTCACCCTCATGTTGTTCGAAACCCGTAAGACCTTTGTTCATCTTCAGAACACAAATTAAGATATTTTTTATGAAATCCGAGAGCTTTCTGACCTTGCATGCAGCAACGCAACTGACATGTTCAAGGCCCAGAAAGGTACTAAGGACATTGTTAAAGGTGCCATTAGAGATGCACCGATTGCGATTTTCTTGGCCGATTCTGATTTTTCGTTAGTGTGATCTGCCGATATCAATTTTTGCTGATTCCGATTTTCTTTCTAAGATCTATAATTGACAGCATATACAAACAAAAATCTACTTTTCTTCAACGCAAAGGTTTATTTTCATTAAAAAAAACACAAGTAAAAAGTCAGTAATAAAAAAAGAACAAATAAAAAATACTGCAAACAACAGCACAAATAAATGCAATAAAATAAAGAGGGCTATGAAACTAAGTTTTTCAGGTTAAGTAAGTTTTTATTACCGCATACACATACTGTATACGCACTGCAGACGGAGTACGTGTTAACTTGGCGCAACAAATCTAGTTCAACATCTGAGGCAACGCCACAAAGATCTCTATGACCTATGCATGGCAAATAAAAAAAAAGATTTTTTTCTGCCATATGTCTATTCTAGAGACATTTTGTTACACCTTTACTTAGTGATTATTTTGCCTTATGTCTGTTCCAGAGTCATGTTACAGCTTTTTGATAAAGCTCTAATTGGTTTTCTTTTGGAAATATGTTTCAAATTCACA